TCTGGAATGTTTGTGTTTCCCAGCAGTGACTTCATATCTGCTAACTGGGTTGTCTTTCCTAAATTTTCCCCCTTACTCAACAAGTCTTGGATTGATTTCTGGACTTGTTAGGCAAATTATTTATGACCTTTATTTCTTTGGCCCTAGGGTAATTGAGTGCTCCCTTAGTACTTGAATTATGGATATATAGACTATGAGCTCTACCCTTGGAAGGTGAAGAACCGGACAATTCTTTTCCCCATTAGCTTACAACAAACAATTTGATACTGGGGGCGGTGCCTGTGGCTCAGTGGGTAGGGCGCTGGCCCCATATACCAAGGGTGGCAGGTTCAAACCCGGCCCTAGCCAAACCACAAAAAAAACTTGATATATTCTGATACATGTATATGCCCATGAACCCACTGCTGCAATCAAGATAATGAACATATCCATCACTCCCAGAAGTCTCCTCCTGTCCCTGTCTTGTCCCCTCCTCTCAGCTCCACCCCCTGCCACCGCATCCCAGCAAAGCCACTGAGCTGCTCACTATCACCATACATTAGTTTGAGTCTGTACTTCTTACAGTTTTATATAAATGGAATCAAACCATTTGTACTTCTCATTATCTTGCTTCTTTCACTCTGCATAATTCTTTTGAAATTCATCCATAGTTTGTTTTTTATTTTTTTTGAGATAGAGTCTCACTATGTTGTCCTGGGTAGAGTACTGTGGCGTCACAGCTCACAGCAAACTCAAACTCTTGGGCTTAAGTGATTCTCTTGCCTCAGCTTCCCAAGGAGCTGGGACTACAGGTGCCCACCACAACTCCCGGCTATTTTGTTGTTGTTCCAGTTGTCATTGTTGTGTAGCTGGCCCAGGGTAGGTTAGAACCTGCCGTGTATGTGTATGTGGCTGGCACCGTAACCACTGTACTTCGTGTGCCAGGCCTCATCCATGGTTTTCATATGTCAGTAGTTTATCCCTTGTTAATGAGATCTCATTTAGTGTAGACATAAGTCTTTTATTAGATATACATTTTGCAAATACTTTTTTTCATTCTATATCTTGTATTTTTCCTTAACAGTGTCTGTTGATGTGCAGGCATTTTAAATTTTGATGAAATCCAGTTTATCAATATGTTCTTTTATGAACCATATGTTTGGTAACACATAAAAGAAATCTTTGTCTAACTCAAGGCTTCATATTTTATTCTAGAAGTTTTATAGTGTTAGGTTTTATATTTAGGTTCCTGATCCATTTGGGGTTAACTTTTTTATACAGTGAAAATAGAGAGTGAAGTTCATTTTTTTTTTTTGATGTATAGATATCAAACTTGTTCCAGTGGCATATGTTGAAAAGTCTATCCTCTTTCCAATGAATTGCCTTTATACCTTTGTCAAAAATCAGTTGTCCTTATATGTATAGGTCTGCTGCTGGACTCTAATCTGTTCCAGTGATACATATGCTTATTGTTTTAATTGCTGTGGCTTTTCATTTTTTTATTTTTATTTTTTTGAGACAGAGTCTCACTCTGTCGCTCAGGCTAGAGTGCCATTGCCTCAGCCTGGCTGATGACAACCTTAGAGCTCAACCTTCTGGGCTCTAGTGGTCCTCCTGACTCAGCCTCCTGAGTAGCTAGGACTACAGGTGCCTGCCACAACACCTGGCTAGTTTTTCTATTTTTAGTAGAGACAGGGTCTTGCTTTTGCTCAAGCTGGTCTTAAACTCCTGAACTCAAGCAATTCTCCTGCTTGGCCTCCCAGAGTGCTAGGATTATAGGCATGAACCACCTTGCCTGGCCAACTGTGGCTTTTTAAATCTTAGTTTTTTTCAAAGTTGTTAGGCTTTTGTAGATCCTAATTTCCAGATAAGTTTGAGAATCAGTTTGTCAATTTCTACAAAACCCAATCTGCTGGGATTTTGATTGGGATTGTGGTGAATCCATAGATCAATTTGGGAAGACTTGACAGCTCAGTGTTCGCTCTTCTGGCCTATGAACATAGTATGTCTCTTCATTTATTTAGATCTTTTTTAATTTCTCTCAGCGATGTCAGCAATGTAGTTGTGAGTGTACATATCTTTCAGTACTTTGTCAGATTTATTCCTAAATATTTCATATTTTTGATGCTATTGTGAATAGTATTATTTCTTAAGTTTGAATGTATGATTGTTCCTAATACATAGAAATGTAATTGAATTTTTATTTGTTAGTGATGAGGCCTCACTCTGTCATCCAGGCTAGAATGCAGTGACACCATTATAGCTCATTGGGCTTCCAACTACTGGGCTTGAGGGATCCTCCTGTCTTAGCTTCTAAAATAGCCAGGACTATAGGCATGTGCTACACACCTGGCTATTTTTTTTTTTTTTTTAAATTTTTGAGACAAGGTCTTGATCTTTCACCCAGGCTAAAGTGCAGTGGTGTCATCACAGCTCACTGCAACCTCAAACTCCAGGGCTCATTCAATCCTCCTTCTTTAACCAAGTAGCTAGGACTACAGGCATGTGCCACTGTGCTTAAATAATTTTTTAAATAGAGTCAGGGTCTGACTATGTTGCTCAGGCTGGTCTCGAACTCCTGGCCTCAGGTGATCCTTCTGCCTCAGCTTCCCTAAGTGCTAGAATTATAGTCATGAGCCACTGTGTCTGGGCTGTCATAACTCTTTGTTGAGTTATTTTAGTGGTTGTTCTATGCTTTGTAGTACACATATTTAACTTACCACTGTTTATCTTCAAGTAATATTTATTGTACCACTTTATGTACTTAAAGTTGTCCCAGAGCTTAACCACACTTACTCTTTTTCAAAACATTCTCTTTTCTCTCTGTTTTGTTTTGGATATTTTTCTATTATAGTTCAGTTTCTTTTCTTCTGCTATGTCTACTGACATTAATCTCATCCAGTGTATTTTTCATCTCACACATGGTAATTTTATTTCTAGAAGTTTGATTTGGATCTTTTTTCAATATCTTTCATGTCTCCAACTTTTGCAACATATATAATATAGTTTTAAGACTTTTTAAGATATTTTTTTCTGCTGATTCTGACATCTGTGAAAATTATTGGTCAGATTTAATTGATTGATTTATCTACTTATTAAGAGTAACATTTTCCTCCTTCTGTGCTTTCCAGGTAATTTTTGATTGGAAGCTACATGTGGTGATGTTATTGCTTGCCAGATAGTCCTGTATTCAAATAAATGTTCTTGAGCTCTGATGTGGGACCAGTGAAATTACTTGATTTTTTGCATCTTGCTTTTAAGATTAGGTAGGACTGAGGTTGCATTCAGTCTAGGAATAATTATTCCTGATTACTGAGGAAATGCCCTTCACCCAGTGACTCTTGAGATCATTTAGCCTGGCCTTGTGGGAACAGGCCTGTGTGAGCAGTATTACTCTTTTGGAAGGGTTAGTAGTTTCCTCACACCTATACACTGATCATTCCTCAGTTGAAAGTTTGAGGGGGACCCTCTGCAGATATCCAGATTTCCCTATCTAAGCAGTTTGCTCCTCTCTGGTATTCTATATCCTGTGAACTCCTCTGTCCACTTTGCTAGTAGATGAAGGTCCATGATAGAAAAAATTAACCAGCATTTCTGGCATCAATAATCTTGTCTCAGCCAATGATTATGAAAACAGAAGCAGAAAGATTATTGTCTTGGTTTGCTGTGTGTTGCTATATCAGAATGCCTGAGCCTGGGTAATTTATAAGGAGCAGACATTCATTTCTTACAGTTCTAGAGGCTGGGAAGCCTGGGGTTGAGGGGCAGCATCTGGTGAGGAGCTTTGCAAGAGAGCGTATGTGTGTGTGAAAGAAAGAGAGAGAGAAAGACAGAGAGTGAGAGTGCCAAACTTGCTTTTTTAACAAATCAGCTTTCACAGTAACATTAATCCATTTATGAAGGTAGACCCCTCATGACCCAATCACCTCTTGTTAGGTCCCACTTCCTAACACTGTTGTATTGAGGATTAGGTTTCCAACACATGAACTTTGGGGGTTACATTCAAACCATAGCAACTATTGAAGCAAAATCTTGTATCAGCCAAAAGTCCCTACCTGACGTTAAGAGCAATCATTTCTTTGAAGAGAGTTATAGACAGTGGACATGCTGGTGCTCCTGGATGCCCGTTATTTAAGAAGCTCCTTGCAATTCCACGGCTATGTGTTATTGAGGCAGTAATTGACGTTTGGTGGGGAGCAGACCTTGGTAGGTATAGACTCGGTGACTCTGGATCCCTGGTATATTTCAGACATCCAGACAGTTGTCTCCTGCGGTCCTGCATGTCCCCAACCCTGGGATTCTGACTGTCAGTGTGGGGTATAGTGGGAGGAGGCAGACATAGACTATGAAGAAAATAGTGCCAGGCAATGTACAGCCTGTTTTCCACCCACAGGTGCTTTCTTCATCCCCTACCTCATCTTCCTCTTTACCTGTGGCATTCCTGTCTTCCTTCTGGAAACAGCACTGGGCCAGTACACTAGCCAGGGAGGTGTCACAGCCTGGAGGAAGATCTGTCCCATCTTTGAGGGTGAGTAGTTCTGTGCCTAATATCTTTATTAGTGGTTATAAACCTTATCTAGAATGGCTTGAGTGATTATCAGCAGTTCTGAAGTTAAGGTAAGACTCTCTGTCTCTTGGGTTGTGGGCTGAATACAGAGCTAGTCACTTGGTCCATCAGAGAATGAGGGAGAAAAATGAGGGTAAGGACTGAGTAAAGACTTTAGGTTAAATAAGTAGAGTGTAAAGCTCTTTTAGCTATATATTAAATGCGTAGCAACGATTTTTATATTTTAAAGACATTTAATTGATTATAAAACATTTTTCTTTTTATCCCCTATTTCTTTCTTGTCTTTTTAATTTCAGATTAATATGAGGGCACAAACCATTAGATTACAGTGTTTGCATTTGTTAGGTAAGGTCCCTGTTGCAGTTATGCCCCTAGCCCAGGAGGTGTGCCGTATATCCCTACATTGTTCCCTTTCTGTCCCCCCTCTGAGCTTGAATTAAATTGAGTTTTTCTCTTATGTGGGCATGTATTAGTTCTACTATTTACCAAATACACTGGCTCAAATACATTGGATACTTGCTTTTCCATTATTGTCATACTTTACTAAAGAGAATGTTCTCCAACTCTATCCAGGTTAATACAAAAGAGGTCAAGTCTCCATCTTTTTATGGCTGAATAGTATTCCATAGTATTAATAATAAATTATTCCATAGTATTAATAATAAATGTATCACAGTTTATTAATCCATTCCTGGGTTGATGGGCATTTGGGTTGTTTTCACATCTTGGCAATTGTGAATTGAGTTGTAATAAATAATCTAATACAGATGTCCTTAGGATAAAATGATTTTTTTTCTTCTGGGTAGATGCCTAATAATGGGATTATGGGATCAAATGGAAGGTCTATTTTGAGTTCTTTGAGGATTTTCCATACTTCTTTCCAAAGAGGCTGTATTAGTTTACAATTATAAAACATTTTAAAAGATAATTTTAAATGAGAAAAAATGATTTCATTAATAGTTTTACCATCTTGACATAATAAGTACTTAAAATTTAGGGTATTTTATTTCATTCTTTCTTTCTCCATGTAGGATTTTCATTAAGTTTTTATTTTGGAATAATGATAGATTTACAGGAAGTTACAAAAATAGTACAGAGTCCTCTGTACCCTTCATTCAGTTTTACCCAATCTAATATAACTATAGTACAATATCAAAACCTGGAAATTGTCACTGGCACTTTCTGCAAACATTATTTAGATTTCAGCGGTTTCCCATGCACTCATTTATGTGTGTTTATGTAATTCTGCATAATTTTATCATATGTAGATTTGCATAACCACCACCACAATCAAGACACAGAACTGTTCTGTCCCTACAAATACCTTGCTATGGTTTATCACTTCTCCCAGGTGAACCCTCCCCCACCCAGTCCCTAACCTTTGGCAACCACTAATCTGTTCTCTAGCTTTGTAATTTTGTCTTTTTTTTTTTTTTTTTTTAGACAGAGTTTTACTTTGTCGCCCTTGGTAGAATGCTATGGTGTTACAGCTCACAGCAACCTTAAACTCTTGGGCTCAAGAGATCCTTTTGCCCTCCCTAGTATCTGGGACTATAGGCACCTGCCACAATGCCAGGTTAGTTTTTCTATTTTAAGTAGAGACGGGGTCTCACTGTTGCTCAGTCTGGTCTTGAACTCCTGAGCTCAAGGGATCCACCTGCCTCAGCCTCTTAAAGTGCTAGGATGACAGGCATGGGCCACCATGCTCAGCTAATTTTGTCATTTTGAGAATGTTACATGAACGGAATCATGCACTATGTAATGCATGATTACATTTTTTTTGCATGATTCTCTTTTTTAATGATTGCATACACTTCCATCATCTGGATATATACATATATATATATATATATATACACACACACATACATATATCATAATTTACTTAAGGATACTTCTTGGCCTTTTGCTTATTTTCAGTTACTTAAATTTTTTTTTTAAATTTTTCGGGTACAAAGAATTAGGTTACACTGATTGTATTTGTTAGATAAAGTCCCTCTTATACTTGTGTCCTGCCCCCCAAGAGGTGTGCCATATACCATGTCCTCCATCCCCCTCCCTCCTCTCCTCTCCCTGCTACCTCATTCCCTTACCCCACCCCTTATATTAACTCATCTACTGCCTTCATATTAGAATTGAGTACATTGGATTCTTGGTTCTCCATTCTTGTGATGCTTCACTAAGAAGAATGTGTTCCACTTCCATCCAGGTTAACACAAAACATGTAAAGTCTCCATCTTCTTTAGTGGCTGAAGATACCACTAAATAATAATAATAATAATAATATTCCGTGGTATACATATACCACAACTTGTTATCCATTCCTGGGTTGATGAGCATTTAGGTTGTTTTCACATTTTGGTGATTGTAAATAGAACTGCAATAAACAATCTAGTGCAAATATCCTTATAATAACATGATTTTTTTTTCTTCTGGGTAGATGACTAGTAATGGGATTGCAGGATCAAATGGGAGGTCCAATTTGAGTTCTTTGAGGATTCTCCCTTGTAGCAGCCCATATAGCCTATGGCTAGAAGGAGTGAGAGTTATAGGAAATACCTGTAATGGAACACCTTGGTGAAAAGAGCATGGAGAGAGATTTGGTTCTAACTAGCATGAGAGAGCTCACGAGATGAGAGCAGTGGTGAATTGGCAGTCTCTACACCTGTGGTGTTGAGAAGCACGAGATCAGCCTTATATTAGGCTGGAGGAGAAGGCAGTCAGGAAGCATGCGCATTCTATCACAGACACGCTTACTCTGACTCTGTCTCCTCTTCTGCCTGCAGAACGCCAGCACAGGATCTCTCTGCTGAAGATTACCAAGCTCTGCTAAAGACTAAGATCTATCTGTTCTAAGAAGACTGCTTTACTTTAAGATACTCTCTTTCTCTCTCTCTTTCCAGCTAAAGGTAGATAGCCCTCAGGCAACTAAGAGAAACTGTTCCTGAGCAAGGTAGCTTAGCGGTCCGTGTCTGGAACCTGCCTAAGCCAGGCCCGAGACCTGGCCAGTCCTGGGCCCTGACAAGTGGTATCAGAAGCAGCCAAAAAGGTTGTAATAGTTTGCAGCCCCACCAGCAGTGTAAAAGTGTTCCCTTCTCTCCACATCCATGCCAGCATCTGCAGCTTTGAGACTTTGTGCTGTGGACCATTTTCGCGGGGGTTAGGTGATATCTTAGGGTAGTTTCTCTGATGAGTAGGGATGATGAACATTTTTTCATATGTTTGTTAGCTGTTCATTTGTCTTCTTTAGAGAATTTTCTATTCATGTCTCTTGCTCAGTGATATATGGAATTTTGGGGTCTTAAATTTTTTTTTTAATTTTGCAATCATGTATATTTTTTCAGATAGCTGTCTCCACCCTTTGGAATTATTTCTTTAGGATAAATCCCCAGGATTAGAATTATTGAAGCAAATGGGTAATTCAATTGTTATCTCTTGATCTGGTTTATGAAATTGTCCTGTGGATATGTTACACAGACTTAAAATGTCCCTAAGCATGAGTAGGCATCTTTCCCCACATCTTTAATAACTTTTGGTTGTATCAGCAGTTCCCCAACTTGTCTGCATGTTGAAATCCTTTGAGGATCTTCAAAATATCCTGTGACTTGTGCTCCATCCTCAGAGACTGTGATTTAAATGGCTTGGGGTCTGACCTGGGCTTTGGAATTTTGTAAATATATCCAGGTAATTCTAATATGCAGATAAGTTTGGAAACCATTCAGTTATATCATTTGTAAAAATTTTCACCGAGCTTGTGAATGCAGAATGGTACCTCGTTGCTATCTCATAAGAGGGCATTCACTGCCAGTATTTTCTCCTTTGTGAATTGTCCGTCCCTGCTCTTAACTTGGGTTTTAATATTTCTGAAAATTAATCAGACTAATCCCGAGGAACATTAACTACTGGTATCTTGGAGTCAGTCTTAAATATTTTAAAAATAACTTTGAATTAGTGAGCTTTCAGAACCTGATAATGATGAAAGCGTGTGGCTGTGGAGCAGACCAGTGAAGACGGGGGAGGAGCTGGTGGGCCCAGGCAGCACAGGCTGAGGTGCTGGGTGGGAGAGAGAGAGCCCCTGGGATGCTGACAGTGGGTGCAGACCCAAACAGGCCTGGGCAGTGAGCAGGCAATCTGCTCACCGCCCCTAGTCCCATTCTGCAGCTTCTCCCGCAGGCATTGGCTACGCCTCCCAGATGATTGTCGTCCTCCTCAACTTCTACTACATCATTGTCCTGGCCTGGGCCCTCTTCTACCTCTTCAGCAGCTTCACCATTGACCTTCCCTGGGGCAGCTGCCGCCACGAGTGGAATACAGGTAAGGTCCTCGCCGGAGGTCCACTTCTTCCTCTGGCTCTGCCACTTTAGCCAGCGGTGGGATTATCCCTATATTCTGGGCAACCTCATCCCAGTCTGAACATGGGACACACTGGAAATTAGCCAAGTAGGTCATGGAGATTTTAGGTGCAGAATAAGAGCAAGACTTCACCAGTGTCATAGGCAAAGTGTCACAGTCTTGTTTTTAGAAAAAGAAATTGATGCATTCTATTCATATATTATGCAAACAGAACTGACTCCTTTTTAATATAGTTTAGCCATTCATTTAAATCAATTCAAGAGTAAATTTGATGTATGGATACATACAGTGGAACCTCAATAGTTGACCACCTCCCTACATTGACCACCTCCTTAAGTTGACTTAATTCTCATAGAACAGACATGCGCCAAAGGTACTCACTGGAAATTCCTCATGTTGACTGCCTCTGTGTGTCGTCAGTTTGTTACAGCCCCGTGGGAAGTCAACTTACAGTGGTTCTACTGTATTTGTTCATTTATTTATCTCTTCATGCCTTCTGGGACTATTTTAGGTCTTTCAAAATTACAATTCATCTGGACTTAACTAGGGCATGAGCTGTTTGTATATCATCAATATACAGTTAACCCTTGAACACTGTAGGAATTAGGGTTGCTGACCCCCACCCAGTGGATAATCTGTGTATAACTTCAGACTCCCCTCAAACTTAACTACTAATAGCCTACTGTTGACTGGAAGCGTTACTAATAACATGAACAGTTGATTAACACATATGTACTATATTCTTAAAGTAAAGTAAGCTAGAGAGAAGAAAATATCATTAGGAAAATCCTAAGAAAGAGAAAATATATTTACTATTGATTAAGTGAAAGTGGATCATTGTAAAGGTCTTCGTTCTCATCGTCTTCACATTGAGGAGGCTGAGGCGGAAGAGGAGGGTTGGTCCTGCTGTCTCAGGTGCGGCGGAGGGGGACGAAAATCTGCATGTGAAGTGGACCCTTACAGTTTAAACCTGTCATTCCAGGGTCAGCTGTAATTCATAATAGCAATTATAGTCACAAATCACTTAACAACAGGGATATGTTCTGAAAAATGCATTGTTAGGGGATTTGGTTGTGCACTTACACAAACCTGGATGGCGCAGCCTACAACACAGCAGGGCTACGTGGTATAGCCTATTGCTCCCAGGTTACACACCTGTATAGCATGTGACTGTACCGAATATTGTAGGCAATTGTAACATACTGCTAAGTATTTGTGTGTATAAACATATCAAGACATAGAAAAAGTTTTATAGTGAGAACATAATATTATGAATATTACGGGACCACTGTTGTGTAAGGGGCCTGTTGTTAACTGAAACATCGTTATACAGCACTTGACTAATTTCTCCAGTGCTTATAATGATGTTATGTGGTTACCGGCCACTTGAAACGTGGCTAGGGCATCTGAGGAGCAGAATTTTAAATTATCAGAAGTAAATTATTTAATTTTAATTTAAATGGCCCCATGTGAGTAGTGGCTCCCTTCTGGATAGCACAAATGCATAGTGGACACATCAGCTCTGTAGTTGGCTCTCTTGTCCAAACATCTTTCAGAGCCTGTCAAGGAGGCACTCTTTTTTTTTTTTTTTGAGACAGAGTCTTATTTTATCACCCTTGGTAGAGAGCCGTGGTGTCACAGCTCACAGCAACCTCCAACTCCCGGGCCTAGGTTATTCTCTTGCCTCAGCCTCCCGGGTATCTGGGACTACAGGTGCCTGCCACAACACTCAGCTATTTTTTTGTTGCAGTTTGGCTGGGGCCGGGTTCAAATCTGCCACATGGGTATATGGGGCCCATGCCCTACCCACTGAGCCACAGGCACCACACCAAGGAGGCACTTTTGAAATGGGGCAGCCAGGATTAATTTTTTCTTGCTCAGATAAGTTACTCAGCTCTGGCTTGGAGTTTGGTTTCCTGTATCCCTTCATGGCCTGGCCCCCCACTTGGCCCTCTGCTTCAGTCTCACTCTTTAGCTCCCCTCTGGTGCACCTTGCACCTCTCTGCCACCGCCTCCACTCCACTGTCAGTTTTCAAGGGAAAAGTTAGATCTTGGAGGTGCCTCCCCCAATGCTCCAAGATTGCTTGAGGTTCTTCTCAAAAGTATCTGCTGGTTCCTGCTCTGGCCTGTCCAGCTGTAGCTCTTCCCTCACTCTACGTCTGTCTCATGACTTGGTTTTCCCCTTCATCTGCAAGATCCTGAGGGCCCAAAAGGTATCTTTATCTCTGTATCCTTTGCACCTAGCACAGTGCTGGCTACCTCAAAAGCACTCACAAATATTTCCTGAATGAAAGTTAAAAAATATTCTATTCTCATTTTGAGATTTCATATATGTTTTCTTTCTTTCTCCTTCCTTCTTCCCTCTCTCTCTCTCCTTTCTTTATTTCTCTTTCTCTCTCTTTTTTTTTTTAAGAGACAGAGTCTCAGTTTGTCGCCCTCCATAGAGTTCTGTGGCATCACAGCTCACAGCAACCTCCAGCTCTTGGGCTTAGGTGATTCTCTTGCCCCAGCCTCCCGAGTGTCTAGGACTACAGGTGGCTGCCACAATGCCCGGCTATTTTTTGTTGCAGTTTGGCTGGGGCTGGGTTCGAACCCACCACCCTTGGTCTATGGGGCCGGCACCCTACTCACTGAGCCACAGGCACCGCCCCCATTTTTACGTTTTTGACATTTCTCTGAGTAAGTCTAGTTTTACTCAAAGCCTAGCATTTGAATGGTATAAGACAACCCGCCCTGTCATGATGAAATAACGCTTTTCTGGATGTGCTAAAGCTTCAGAGAAAGTGGTATGATTTAGTGGAGAAGACCTCTTTGATCTTCTGCCACATGCCAGGCTCTGTTCTAAGCATTGGGGACATAGGAATGTACAATGAGGAGACTCCAACCCCCCATCACCACCACTCTGTGCATCCATTCTAGTGATGGAGACAGACCACAGACAAAATAAGTGTGAAACAGGTGCCATGTTAGAAGAAGTGCTATGGAGAAAAATAAAACAGAGATGGGGAGTTTTAGGGGGTGGGAGTGTCAGGAAGAGTCTTACTGAGGTGTCCCTTGAGCACTGGTCTCAAGAGGGGAACAGCCACTGAGACACAGGAGTGGTACAGAAAGAACTCCAAGTGCTGAGGCCCTGGGGTGCATCATGCCTGTAGCTGCAGAGCACAGGGGCTGGTGTGGCTGGAGAGGTGAACACGAGGTGTGGTAGGAGGTGGGAATAGGTTGGCAGGGCCTTGAAGGTGACTGAAAGGGGGTTGGAATATTTTCTCTGAGTGGCATGGGAAACCCAGGGCAGGGTTTTGAGTTAGGATGTGACATAAAGTGACATAAGCTCAACAAATCACCCTGGCTGCTGTATGGAGATTTGATGAGGGGAGCAAGGGTGGAAACTGGAGACCAGCTGGGAGCCAAGAGGTGATGGTGACCTGGTAGCAGTAGAGATAATGAGTGAGCTCAGAGTCTAGATATTTTGAAGGTAGAACTTAGACCATTTGCTGACCTGGGTTCAAGCCCAAATTTGGTCATTTATGAATAGTGACAGGCCATTTCTAACAAGAACCACTTTCTTCACGGTTACCGTGAGGAAAACAGTGTCTGTTTAATGTTTCCCAGGTTTGCTATGCTAATAAAACGTCAAAGAGAATGTTAGCACTCTGTAAAACTCCAAAATGATGTACAAATAATAAAAGCTACCATCTATTGTATCACTTTACACTCATATTTCCTTTAATCCCCCTGTAAGGTGGATATTCTTATCTACATTTTAGGGATGAAGGAAGCAAAACTTAGAGAACCAAGTTGTAATGTGCCCAAAGCCACCACAGTCAGTGCCCTGAGAGTCAGATTCAAGCCAAAGCTTTTGAGCTGTACTCTTGGCCACTCTGACGCATCACGTGCCTAGTAGGCACTCTTGTTATTCCTCAGAGGTTGTGGCTTTACCTAGAAGTCTGAGTGTGCTTCAGGCAGCTGGCACACAGAGCATCTTTCCTGGCCATCTGATCATGTCTTGATGGAACGTGCAGGCAAATATTTATGAATCCCCATGTGGCAGTGTGCGGGAGAGGGCAAGGCCGGTTTGTTGAGGTTGTGGTGTGTGAGGATGTTCTGCACCAAGAGTTTTATCCCAGTCTTTCCAAATGCCTTACCTCCTGTCCTTTTAAAATTCTACCCCACCCTTTACTTGTGCCAGTGATCTTTCTCTTTCTCCCTCCCCTGCGGCCCTTGCAGAACACTGTGTGGAGTTCCAGAAGACCAACAGCTCCTTGAACGTGACCTCCGAGAATGCCACCTCCCCTGTCATCGAGTTTTGGGAGTAAGTGGGGCTCCTTCCCCACTGGAACATGCCTGTAGGGGCCTAGGGAGGGGGCTATCCGTGCAAGGAAAGCATTCCCACGTCCTTCACTGGCCCTGTCACCTATGCGGCTTCTCCCTGTTGGGCCTGTGTTTGTGGATAGCGCAGGACTGGTTTCAGAGACGAGAATGCCGCAGCTCTTCTCGGGTGGCCCTGCCCCGTGCACACCACATGCACGTCCTCACAGTGCCACATGGATACACATGGAGCCAGTGAGTGTATGTGCCTTTGCTTGACTCACTACTGTCTTCGGTGGCATGTGTGTGGCCTTACCCGCCCTCCTGCCCAAGTATTGATATTCACTCAGGGTGTGATTCCCGATATGAAAATATCCTAAAACCCTGGCTGAGAAGATAGGTGTTTGCATCTCCTTCCCCAGGGTAAATGGCACTTAGAGGAAACATGCCTGGGAACTGCTTGCATTTGTCACTCTATCTATCTCCGTCTCTGGGCAGAGGATAGCTTCGCGGGTCTAAGCAAAAGGGTGACAAGCCTGTGCACAGGAGCCTGGGAGGCATGGCCCTGCTGTCCAGGCATGTGGGGGTCCCTTCAAATAAATGGAGGCTGGCAGCAAAGGTGGAGCCAGGCTCGGCTCTTCTCTTCCCAGGCGGCGGGTCCTGAAGATCTCCGATGGCATCCAGCACCTAGGGGCCTTGCGCTGGGAGCTGGCCCTGTGCCTGCTGCTCGCCTGGGTCATCTGCTACTTCTGCATCTGGAAGGGGGTCAAGTCCACGGGCAAGGTCCGTGTGGAGAGTCCCTGCCTGTCCTCTGCCAGGCTCCTTGCCCTCACCAGGGAAGTTCCCTAAGTTGAGGCCTAGTCAGGGATGACAGGGAATGACTCAGCAAAAGGTTCCTGTGACTCTCCTGGATTCAACTCTATGTATGCCTAGCATTTAGGGAAGTGGACGAGAGTGGGAAAGGCAGGAAGGACACCCCCAGGGGAATTTGGACTTGGAATATACTACATGGGTGGGCAGATTGCAAACTGAATGCTGTTCTTGGTTTCCTACTTCATATGATAGTTCTTTGGGAAAAGAATTCCATTAAGACTGGTTATCTCAAATGATTCTCACCCAACTCCAGAGCTGTGGACTACTCTCTGCCGGGGAGGTTGTGAGGTGTTAGAGAGCACTCTGAATTCTTCTGGACTTGTGCCCTGGAGGCCTCTGATGGCTTCCTCGCTAATCAGGGTGCCTGGTTGTGGTAAGCTGGTAAGATCTGTGAGGACAGGGAACATGTGTTATAGGTATTTTCGTATCTGACAGCCCTTGCCATCACTCTAAGCACATTAGTTGGAAGAATGTCTAAGTTCATTTAGTTACTCAACAAACATTTATTTAATATGTGTCAGGGAGAGGCTAGTGTGACCTGGAGGGAGGAAAAGAAAGGGTAGACCGTGGCTTAACGCCGAGGTGGATGGGACTGGACAGCTGCAAAGGGTTAGAAGGAGGGAAATGGAGGAGTGCCCTGACCTTTCTGAGGAACTCTGCACCCCACCCCCATCTCCTCCCCCTGCAGCTGGGTCTCCAGGCCTCTCCCTCCTGACTCCCTCTCATTTGCCCTGTCTAGGTGGTATACTTCACGGCCACGTTCCCTTACCTCATGCTGGTGGTCCTGTTAATTAGAGGGGTGACACTGCCTGGAGCAGCCCAAGGAATTCAGTTTTATCTGTACCCGAACCTCACACGTCTGTGGGATCCTCAGGTAAGAAGACGCAGACAGACTGGCACAGGACTCTGGAAGGCGGGGGCTGTGGGCTCCCGCAGCTCCTGGCATCCATGTGGTGGGGACACACTCATCCTTCTCCAGACAGCTGTTGGTGGTCCGAGGTGTCTGATGCTGCCCCTCCTTGGTTCATAGCTGCCAGGGCACACGGGGGGCCTGAGCCCTAGTAATATTTCTCAGGGGCTACAGATATGCCACTAAAAGCTTTACCCACGGGCTGTGCCCTGCCGCTCACCGTCCCCCGTGCCCTTCGTGCATTTTTCTCTTGGTGAGCTCATCCACTGAGCATCCTATCTATTTCTTACCCTCGACCTGCTGCCCTGTTTCCTCTCTCTGCCGGGCTGACAGCCCTGGGCCCCAGCTCCTGAGCCCTCTCTCTACCAGTCCTGCTGGTGTTAAGTTTCTTGTCAGTTGTCCAGAGGCGCCTTCTGCCTTCTTGCCCGTCCCTTACCGGTCTACACTCCCTGTGCCACCCAGTTTCTTTATAGCCCCGGGTGGGGAGGTGGGTGCTATTTGCTGAGAGGAAGGGTTTGTGAAGCAAGGCCTGAAGTGAGACACCCCTGCCTCTGCCAGCTCTCTTATTTTCTCCTCTTTGGCAGCCATTTGAAAGTTGGCAAAGATAGGAGGTGTCAAGGACTGGAGGAGTGCACAGTTAAGCTCCACCCTAGAGCCCCTGAAATTTTGTTACACGCTGAGGTGCCGGCTTCTGTCTCCTTGGTACAGAGGCCACCCTTCCTGGAGAGCACATGTGCAATTTGGAGATCTTCCTCTGGGTTGCTATGAAGGGGCCCCAGGGAAACTTGAGGGCAGATGGCTTCCTGCACACACAGACTAACACTTGGATGGCTTTCCAAACATTTTGGAAAGGACGCACCACCATGGTCACTGATATTGCTGAGAAGAAGCAAGAGGCAAGGGCTCTCACAGTTCAGAGTTTATACAGAGGCCAGGCGCCTCCCCCTCCCCGTGCAGAATCTCAGGTGAGCCAGAGGCCGAATGTTCTTATGTTTTCCAGCGCCCCTACCAGGGTGAGACGACTCTCCCCTGCTGAATTCCACTGGGCCCACCATGGTTTCCAGAAGCAGCCAGACCACTCCTGTTCAGAAACTTCCCCAAGGAGTCAAGTGGCTTGGTCCCCAGTGTTCCTCCCTAACCTTCTGATGGGATACAAGCTTATCCTTCACCTCTCCCATTTCCTGCACTTCACAGAGCCACACATTGCTACCACCTTGTGTCCACGCAGGGCACGAGGGCTACAGACAGGCTTTGAGCCAAACTGTAGGACCAGAGCTATTGAAGCTAGCAGGACGCCAGAGATCTGAGAGTGCAATTCCTTGTTGCATGCATAAGAAACCGTGGCCAAACGTCACATGGCAAGTAATGGCCAGGCCAGGAAGGGGTATTTTTGTGTTGTGAATCATAAATTCTTTGACTTATCTGGAATCAAAGGCTGTGATCGAGTGTAGGTAACAGACAGGAGATGTGGGCAGCAGCAGAGCTAAGGGGAGGCTTTGTGGGCCAGTGTAGGGTTTGGCTTGGATCTCCTGTGCTTGAGAGAGCTTCTGTGGTTGGGAGCTGCAGACCTGTAAACCAGTGGCTAAGCTACAAAGCTCATCTTCGTTTGCGTGTAAGCCTATGAGGAAGGAGGCATGTTCAGGAAGGATGAAAGGGAAAAAGAATAGAGGGACTCAGTATTTCCAGAACTGACTTTATGGCTTTATCCCAATCAGCTATTTGTAGCTGGCAAATGCCATGTGCTTACTCTGTCCCTGGCTTTATTAAGATGTTTACATGCTATTCAACTAACCCTTACAGCAGACCAATGAGGTGTGCATTTCATAGATAAGGAAATTAAGGCCTAGGACGCTTAAAGAGTTTTCCATCCTCATACCTGAAACTGGAGCCAGGTCTGCAATATGACAAATCTCATGTACTGTATGGTTTCCTCTTGAAGACAAGGTCCCTGTCAGCTTATCTTTGTCTGCAATATGACAAATCTCATGTACTGTATGGTTTCCTCTTGAAGACAAGGTCCCTGTCAGCTTATCTTTGTTGATACCTTATACACTATCAGCAGACCTTTGTTGAATATCTATTATGTGCCGGTTCTGTTTTAGGTGCAGTGTTTGGTGTGCGACACTTTCCAGCAAATAGGAAGGAGGTAGACCCGATAGCCTTCACCTCTGAGAGTTAATAAGGCCATAATCCTGTGTCTGCTGGCTGCAGGGAAAAAGGCCTCTTTTCGTCTGCACTGCAGGCCACTGTCTTTCTCAGTCCAGCCGGCTATGGCTGTGTGGGGAGTGTGTGTCCTCCAGGTGCTTTGAGGCTGTGGGGAGAGAGATGTTCTGAAAGCCTTATCACCTGCCTGTTCTAGTCCCATGCTGAGAGGAGGCCTTTGTTGTCAGTGAACAGAGCAGCACCTGTGTGGTAGGGGTGTCCTGCTAGAGCTCTGATTGAATCTAGTTGGCACTCCAGGGAAGTGTGATAATTCCAACTGGCATTTTCCTGGCACTTGAGAAAGGTGCAAAATTCCTGCTCACCAACACACAGACCTAAGATACCTCTCTCTGCCAAGCACAGAGGCCGGGAGCTGAGAACCAGGCAGAGATTATGCTGCATTCATCTCTTGTTTTTCCCCCTTCTAATAGGCATGCAGTGCAGAGGGCAGGGGGTCACCTTCCCTGGAGTTCCCAGGGCTTGTCTCTCTCCTGTTGGGGAGTGGCGCCGGAGACCTGGGACTCTACTGTGCGGTGTATGCTTCATTTGAGCAACTTGTTTCCTAACCCCCTCCTGACCCTGTGTCTGTTCTGCTGCACTTTGGGAGATGGATAAGGGCAGGGCATGGGAGTAGGGTGTCCAACGAGCCCTTGTTGAGCCTTTTAAATCCCTATGTTAAGCAATTCTAACAAAAGATTTATTTATGGCAGAGGTTGAAATCATTGGTTAAAACTAGTACTTTTATTTTAGTGTTGAGATCTATAAAATCATTGAAATCTGTGTCACCCCATTATCACTGAAAGGTGAGATGCTTTTTAAAATAATAGGTCAGGTGCAGTAGCTTATACCTAGTACCCTGGCACTTTGCTTGAGCCCAGGAGTTCAAGGCTGCAGTGACCTATAGTTGCACCACTGCACTCCAGCCTAGGTGACAGAGTGAGATTCTGTCTCTCTGTTGTTGTTTTTTTTAATTAAATCATAGCTGTGTACATTAATGCAATCATGAGGTACAATGTGCTGGTTTTATATACCATTTGAAATATTTTCATCAAACTGGTTAACATAGCCTTCACCGCATTTTCTTAATTACTGTGTTAAGACATTTATATTCTACAGTTAGTAAATTTAAGATGTACCCTTGTAAAATGCACCATAGCTGTGGTCCCACCAATTAACCTCCCTCC